TAAAACAAAACGAGACTAAATGGACACACCAGCTCAGGGGCAAGGAAGAGAAGGCAGCAAGGAACAGGAAGGTTGGTAATAGGGAACTTAAGGTCTAGAAGGGGAGAGTGTTGACATGTCGTGCAACCAACGTCACAAAACAATGTGTGTACTAATTATTTAATGAGAAGCTAGTTTGTTCTATAAACCATCTAAAGTATAATAAAAAATGTATCAGGGGACACATCTTAAACAGTGATTTTAGGGAAAGGGATTATGACTTTCCCTCAACACATAAGTGCCCTAAATGTTGACCTAGTTCCTTAGCACACTGAGGATGGGTCCTGTTTGCTCACAACCACTGTGCAGGCAGCATGGAGGTGGATCAGAAGGGAAGGCAGATTTGGAACCTTCATGAAGAAAATGCTCCCTTCTCGCTGGTCCCACCTCAGCACCAAACTTAAGACCCAAACAAAATTATATTTACTTCTGAATTTCCGAAGGTGTACCCAATGTTCTAATGGATGGGGAAGAATTCCAGAACACAATACAATTAATGGCAGGCGATAAAAGATTTAAAAGGCACAGGAAAACCCCAAGTGAACTGCTCCAAAAGACTCCATGGAAAAACACTGTCCATGACAAAAGCACCCATTTAAAATTTTTTACATCTATACAGTTGAAAATAGAAGATGAATACCAACATTATCTTGTAGGGTGGCCCCCCACCATGCTGCCTTTGGAAGGGGATGAACAGTGGTGGGAAAGGCGAGGAAGCCAGTTGCTATGCTTTTATTCTCTAACATAGGGAGTGCTTTGACAGGCAATGATGAGTCCCAGGGCAGCTGAACTAGACTGGTAGAGCTATGAAATCAGTTCGGTGTCTTAACTACAATGTACATGAAAAGAAAACTGGAGGCCATTACATAGAATTTTCTCACGAGGAGTGGTTATATAGGGCACTTCACTAATAGTTTGACTTCTCAAAGGTTCAGTTCCCTCAAGCTTTTTCTTCAACTTGAAAATTGGCCAGCTTTGTTAACAATCACACCGAAACACAACAGGGTTTCTGTTAGGCTAATGAAAAAATAAGCAACATGAGAAATGCAAAAAAAGGAAAATTAGTATTTTCAGATGTAAAATGACAGCATTTGCCATGACATGGATTTCCACCAAACGGATATGTAACTGTGAAATCGCCCAATTTTCAAAAGTCCTGACATTTGATCCCACAGTAAGTCCTAGCTCTACACTGATTCTACTACTCACATTTCCCACATTTAAATATCCCTGAAAGTCAGGGCATATTCTCTGAGAGTTACGTCAGTTCTGTTGGCAGTGGTTTCGCTTAGTTGTGCACCTTTTAGTCATGGCATCTTTGGTATAATTAAATGCAGGATATTCTAGTTAATGGAGTACAATCAGAAGACCACTGTGATTTCAGACGACAACTAAAGCTACTCTATTTTACTCTTCTTGAATTTTGTAACTTAAATGGAATGCCCGTAAAACACTGGTTTTTATATGGATCTGAGGTGTCATAAAGTTTAAGTGCGGTTGAAGAACATCTTGAGATTTTACACCCCTACAGAAGATGAGTTAAAATCTCTTATGTAACCCTCAACTTTCCTAAGAGGTTTAAACTTCGGGGTGTACAGATAAAAATAAAATTTAAACTTTTTTGCCTGTTTGTAAATTATGAGATTGCAACGCAGTTCAAAGTACTGGCAGGTATGTGGATTTTCATTCATTCAGTTAGGTGTACTCATGTAACGAATACACTTAAAATCCAAATTCAAATGGAGGAGCCAACTGGAAGGGGTTATTAAAAAAAACTTTTGAGTCTTCTGATTTGGAAAAAATCTATCAATGAGCTAAAACCTGATGAAAATTTGGAATGCATCTCTTTAACAGTAGTCCTTGGAGTAACCCAACTTTCGGAAAGCACCAATAGGTTTCTACAGGAAGTTATATCTTTTTGGAACATAGTAAATACTTTTCAAATACTCAAAACAAAGCAAATGGAATCTGCTGGAGAATTAAGTGAATTTTCACTTCTCTAACTCCTCTCAAAACATGTGACCGGCTTTGATTATTTAATCGAAGCTTTAAACACCAAATTGCCAAATCTTGGTTGTAGGAGCAACTGTTAAATCAGCAATTAGATCATAACTCAGAACAGTTTAGGTGTGAGCACTATGGATATGCAAAATTAGAGTTGAATTCCTCTACTTAACACTTCCCTTCAGATCCATTACTTCCACTCATGTACCTTTTGTTTAGAAATCTTATTAATAAATAAAAGGGGAAACCAAAACTTAATTTATAAAGTTTTATTTTTGGATATATGCTAAATCTTAGGAACTGTGTACAATCTGCACGTCAGTCTGCTGGCTTGTAAAAGGCTGAAAAGTGTGTAATGATTTGGGTGGTTAAGTTTCCTTTCGGGAATATAGATTTCAAAAAACAAACCTTCTCTCATTTCTGAGTTTAAAATATGTTCTCCCTTTTTATCTTACACCTACAAATTTGGAGGAAGAGCGCTACATTTAGGCAAACGTAAAGTAATTGTTATAAATATGACCAGCAGCAAGTTCTTAATACATTTACCACACCCAAAACCTTACTGTCAAATACTAAACACTCATATGGGTGTGTAGACCAATTTTGGCCAAGCCCTACTATGAAACCAGTATGAATTTTTTTTTCGTGGTAACACAAAAACTGTCCGGAGAGGGATGGGATGCTGTTTGAGACTCTGGGCAGTACGTAGTTATCACCAAACTAGAGACCAAAATTGCGTACTTACAACGAAAGGGCAATTTTCTCATCCAGTTACAATTCTAAATAAGGCAGGACATATCCACCAAAAAACTCAGCAAAGTAAACAGTCTATGGGAGAACACAGACTTGAAAAATATTAATAAAAAACTGAAAGGAACTTTTCTGGAGTAGTCATCTGAATATTCACCGACTGTTGCTTTCATTTACAAATATTTTTAAATAAAAAAAGGCTCCAGATCTCTTTAACCACTAACTAGTTGTCCTTGAGTCTGACTCCACTCCGACTCATGGCAAGCTCACTTGCTTCAGAGTAGAACTGTGCTCCATGGGGTTTTCACTTTCACTGGCTCATTTGTCGGAAGTAGCTCGCCAGGCCTTTTCTTCCGAGGTGCCTCTGGGTGGACCAGAACTGCCAACCTTTCAGTTAGCACCACCTACGGACTCCCTTTACCCATTACTAAGCTAAAATACTTAAGTAGTTACAACATTCACTAATAAAAGTTAATCATGAAAAAAATATAAAACATTTTGATAATTCTAAATGTGTATACCTAACAGCTAAAAAGACATATGGTTGGAAAATCATCGAGAGAAAAATCAAAAGACAAAAACTCCAAATATGACTAAGCTCTTCTTTCTGCCTCTACAATGCTAGACGTGAAAATGTGGTTGGTGGAGGGCTTAGAAACAGCAGCAATATGGTTTTTACCAAGTTGTGCACCGAAATACTTAGATCCAACAGGGCAAAACCCTTGTTCACACAGTTTTACAACTAAAATATCTTCAGTCTTTACATTAACAGATTCTACTATCTTCTATAAAGTAATCACGCCATTAGAATTCTGGGGATATTTCTTTCAAAGGAAGACTAGCGATACCTCAACAAACATTTAAAGTAGGAAATATATGGCTCAAGAAATCAATTGAGGGAGTATTAAACAATCTCTAGGCACTTTGAAGACGTGAAATTTAAAATGTGCCATTTATGTTCAGAAAAACACCTCAAAATCACCACCATGTTGCTCTTACAATAACATGCATCTTAAAAATTTCCGGTTATACGTTAATGCTTGCTTAGGAGTTAAATACAGAAAATAATTTGCACCAACAAAAAAACAATCGTCTCTCCATTCACTTTCCCTTGCTCCTGGTCACAACACCAACAATTCTTCCTCAAATGGAGAAACAAAACTCACAAGCCCTCACCTGGTACACAAAGAGGCTTGTAAATTCAAAGCAAGCGAGGTTGGGGTCCCCTCCAAAGAAAAATTCACAGCGTTTTAAAATGTCAAGTTTTCTCATGGCTATAAGTCATTAAACTTTTAAAATTAAGTACATACTTTTCTTAAGGAGCAAGAAATACAAAAATCACCTCTCAGATGGTGAGAGGGTGTCTTTAACAATAGAAACTTGTCCAAATAAAGTTAATCTATTCTGCTCATTGTTGAGGAAGCCTGTAATTGAGGAAGTTTTAAATTAGACCAACTGGAATTGCAAACACTGTACAACTTTCACTCAAAAATTCCGATGTAATATGCTTAAAGTAAAAACAGAATCTATCTGGTGTCAAAATTTCCTAATATTACAAAAAGCCCAGAAGCATAGATGGATTATATAGAGCACTGCAAATTAGATACCCAAAGCTTTTTCTTAAATACCTGCCCCTTTTAATCACAAAATAATGCAATTCTCAATTTTGTTTCTGCTTCATTCAGTTCCAACTATAGCCTTTGAGAAAACATCTTCCTATTAACCGAATTGTAAAAAATACAACTAAGCTTGTGCTCATTAAATATACATGTATATAAAAAACATACAAAAAATACAAGATTGATTATGTCAGGAAACTTTTACAGTGTCAACATCCTAAATTTTTCTGAATCTCTAGTAAAGGGCTGAAGGTCCAATCTTTCTGTGCACAAAAACTCAAGGTGACTGAAATTGTGAATTCAGCGTCATGCCTTGGCATGCTATGCACAGAACTGATTTTAATATGCAGTCCTTTAAAAAAAATTTTTAAAAAAGGGACAAAAAAACCCCCCCAAAAAAACCAAAAACCCCAAAACACACCACAGGACAAAAAGTTCTTCTTAAATCAAATTCTATTTGTGAATTCAGCAAAATAATTTCTATAAAATAAAACAGCAAAATATTTAAATAGAATAGGGTGGGCTGTATCTGTTTGCAGGGGTATTTGGTTTTTAAGACAGGTTTCAAAAAAATTACACACATTCAAGTTACCAATTCTCTTTTAAATACAGTATTAACTGAGTCCCTTAGATCTTTAAATCAAATGTTTATTCTGAAATTTTAATACCTCAATTATATTGACTAACCAGTAGTTTAATTAAATCCTGTTGCGAATGTTAAAATTTTTGGAATAATGGAAAAGGAGCTAGGACAATTCTTGCGTTCAAGTAAAATTGTGACTGAGCAGAAAATCAGCCGGATATCTTGGTGTAGTGGTACTCCAAGTACTGTGGGATTCTGAGGACTTCCACTTCACTGGGATCCAGCAGAAGGAAAGTTTTAGAAGATTCACCTAATAAGCTCTACCAATGAAACAAAACAAGCACACCAAATACAGTCTTCTATTACGCTCCAAGCATCCTGGCATAGCAAATTTTTGCATATTTGTTTTAAATCTTTTAAAATTTCCATTATTGAAACCTAAGTGGTCTTTACCCACCCAGAGATCAAACTGTCAAACATTAGAGATAAGGAACATATGTGCAACTGAAAACCGCCCGTGTGTCAGTTTCTTCCCTTGTTTTATATTTTATAGTCTAGGTGTAAGAAGGAAAAGCTCTGAGCAATACAGCTGCCACTTTGGGACAACTGCTGTCATTATATGATTTTTTTTCTCATTGGCTACACTGACTTGGTGTGAAGCCATGCTAAATGTTACAGCATAACTATAGCTTCAAAGTGATTAACCTATTATCAGAATAAAAAGGCAATGAAAAAGATCTAGAAACAATGTTACGTCACCAATTTTCCACATCAACCAAACAATTCAAAAATTACCAGTCTTACATTGCTCATAGCAACACTGACTCCAGTGGCAAGAATTAACAGGAACTATTGGTGTGGTTGACATGGATGGGCTCTGTTTTGTTGCTGTTGGTTTATTTTTGTTTTTGTAAAGGAGTTGATCCAACTGCCATGAGGCAGGCAACACTGGCTGCAGAATGCAGTGGGAATAACAAGAAAATCAACTTCTGTAGTTTTTGTATATCTGTGAGTCTCATCAAGAAAAAAAGTTTCTTGCTTAAGAATTAACAGTCAAACATTAATATACTATATACACCTTTGCCATTTACACATTAGCATCAGGCCATTTATTACAAAACACTATACACTTTCCACTGCAGGCGGGTTATATATTGACAGCAAATTTCTGCAGATAAGACAGTGAATAAACTCTCCACTCCATGTTGATTAGGAATCGTTTTTCTAGTTTTTAAATATTAGCCAGACACAGAAAAAGGTTGGACTGTAAGGCCTGGGTGCACAGTCTTGATGGAACCAGTTAATTATGTGCATTTCACTGATCCTTCGTCTGAGGTGGGGATACTTCTTCACTGCCTTCATAATTTTCTTGTGCTCGTTGGCCAGTTCTCTGAGGGTTGTTCATGTGATGTGCTGCTGGGCCTGTATACGGCTGTCCATGAACATGGTTATTCTGGGAGGGAACAAGACACCTGGATGTTAAAACTCTTCACATATTAAACTTTAAAATCACAGGCTGAAATTTGTGTAAATGTAAACGTTTCTTTTATTCCTGGGACTTATCCTTTCAATAGGCTTGTGAAAGTAAAAAAATCAATGATCTGAAAAAAGAAAAGCTAGTGTAAATACAAAGTCCAAAGTAAGAGCAGTGACTGTATAGGTGTGTATAAATATTTGGTGCCCAAAATTATTTAGACTCAAGTCTGATAAATAACAGATCAATCTGTTACTGGTCAAAAATCTTCACAAAAAATGACTTGTATGCTAGAATACATCTATTCTGACTTTTCCAAGCACTTGGAAGCTTATATGACAAACCTAATTGACTAATTATGAGATCTGCATAAGCAATAACCCTGAACACAAAGCAATGTTAACAAAAACAAAACAATGTTGAAGATGATAATGGATTAATCAGGCAAGGCATGGTCAATATATGAGCATTCTCAGGGCTGAGACAAGTGACTTTTCTCCTTGTGGATTTGGTTCCCTTGTAGATTTTAAATTAAGTCCCTGAACCCTACACAAGGCTCTCATTTTTCTGTACATCTCCCCACCAGCCAAGGAGATTCTAGGCTTTACTTTCTGTCATTTGTATTATGACAAAAAATATGCTGAATATGCATTTTCAAACTATTCAGCATGCTTGTATTCCTAGCCTGAAACATAAGAAAGAATGTCTTGATGTAATGGTTCTTAAAGTGGTCCTCAGGCCAGCATCATCACCGTCACCCCTACTACCACCACCACCACCAGGGACCTTGTTAGAAATACAGATTATCGGGTACCACTCAAACCTACCTAGTCAGATACTCTAGGGGTGGGGCCCAGTAGTCTGTTTTAACAAGCCCTCCAGGGGATTTTGATGCCTATTCAAGTTTTAGAGTACCATCATCTTAAAAGATGTGTTTGAATGAGTCACATCTGTGTTTTAGAACGTTAAGTTCTCATTTAGAATGTTTCTTCATCTAAATTTTTCCTTTTTTATTTTTTTTACAGTTAAGCACCTATTGATACCTGCCAAAGTCTTTATTTTTTTCCAACAATTTTTAAGGTCATTGAAACTCGAGATAAAGTTACCGAGAACTTCTTACTCCTCTGCCATATCTTAAATGTCTTCAGAATCCACTTGCAGACTTATCTAACAGGAAATGTCATCTTAGTCCTTTGCACTAAATAATGATCATCATTTTACTCTGACACAAATTATCACAGATTTAGTAACTGTAACTACTAGCACAAGAGGGGCCCCTACGTGACAAGGAAAACCCTGCAGGGGCCAGTTCAAATATGTTGCAACGTCACCCCATCCAACAATTCCTATTTTGATCATCCCCCAAAGCTAGTCTGGATCATCCTTCTATTTTTTTTATATCACACATACACACCACAAAACTGGCTATCCTTTAAATAAAGCATAAAAAGTTGGCTCTGGGGATAAAAACACACAGCAGATTCCTGTTTACCTGTTGGTACTGAGATCCAGGTGAGTGGGGGTATAACGGGGCATCTTCTGGTGGAGGTGACTCGTGCTCATCTGGGGCATCTTGGTCATCCGGCTCCTAATTTTAATTATTTACAGATATGAAGAATTATGCAAGGCAAATTCAAGGTTATTTTTACTTCTATTTGAAATTTTAAAAATCCACAAAACTAACCCATTACCCAACTTTTCTATTAGTGCAAATAAAGTAATAGGAAAAAACCCTGATTTGGATTCTCTTAGAAGTACTACATTCCAGACAGTATCACAGAATTTCTCCAAAAGGGGGCTTCCCTTAAGTCCCTAATTTAAGATAAAATACAGTAAACACTAAAGCAAACAAAAATGGAACATAACTATTTTTTACACAATCATTACTACATAAACACTGGCCTATAAAGTAAAGAATTACTTTGCTTTCTTCCATTTCTATCTGCTGCACACTGGTGGCTTTTTTTACCTCCTCTGGACAGAGTTCACAAGCTTTTGCAAGTGTCATCCTAGCACTATGTGATCTCTCCAAGAAATAACCATTTGATGTTTCATTGCTTTGTACTGGAGGAGACCAATTATTATAGGTGTACTGAGGATTGCCAGTGTATGGTCGCCTTTCAAGTTCATCTCCAAGCCATTCCACTGCCCAGGTCCACTTTCTTTTAAGATCTCCATTGCCCTTCAAAAAAAATAAACAAAACTATATATGTAAGAGGATCTGGAACATTTTTCAATGTTAACTTAAAATGACAACCTCCCATTCTTGTAACACTCTTCTTTTAAAACAGAATCCTTTAAATTTCTACAAAATTATACGGAAAAAACAACAACAAAAACAAAACAAAAAAAACCCAAACCAAAACCTCACCTGTAGGATCTGGTAAGCAACAGGACAATTGCTGAAGAGAGCTACCATACATTTTATACACTGGTATGCTCTTTTTTGATAGTGATTCTTAGAGCGCTGGATTGTGTCAAACAGCCCATCTCGGTCATCTGGGATCCCTTTAAGTGCATTATGAATTCTGAAAAAGAATCAGATATAGAACAAAAACTTCTAATATTGAATAGCAGCTAACATTCATTGAATGCCTACTACAAGAAATGTTTTTGGTGTAGTCATTGACTCTAACCTTAAATGGTAGGTACTATTATTAAACCCTTTAACAGATGAGAAAATGGGTAGAGAGGGGTTTAATTGCTTGCCCAAGGTCACATACCTAGCAAGCAGGGGGCTGCCTAGCAGTTTGACTCCAGAGTGTGAGTTCTTATCAACTTATTACCAACTCAAAATGATTTTGCTATGCATATAATTTGACTATAAGACTAGAGGCAAATTCAAGACACTAAAAGTAATGCGAACTTTCAGAATTAAAGTTAACAACTAAGTCTATGACTGCTGTAGTAATCACTTCCTTTTATAAGTACCACATTTCACAAGGTAAAGACAGGAGTCAATGACTATGAAACAGTGATATCATTTGCCAGTACAGAACTAAGGTGACTTCTAATAACGAGAATACATGGCAGGTAAGGCAATATTACCATTTTGCTGATTTGTCAATGATTTCATTTCAGCTCCTGCTGAATTGCAATGGAACAATATATACAGTCACTTTTTCCTGTTCTTCCCTTCAATAACCAATATTAAAAATGATTTTAGAACAAAAATATGCCTTGTTTCTTTTGTGTTAAAAACATTACCTGCCAGCAATTCCACTCTTAGGAATATATGAGAGAGAAGTGAAAACATGTTCAAACGCTGGCACATGAATATTTGTAGCAGCATTATTCACAAGAGCAAAAGGTGGAAACAATGCAAATGTTAACTGACAAATGGATAAACAAAATGTGGCATATTCATACGTTGTTGTTAGGTGCCGTCAAGTCCGTCTCAACTCATAGCGACCCCATGTACAAAAGAACGAAACGCTGCCCAGTTCTGCGCCATCCTCGCAATTGTTGTTATGCTTAAGCCCATCGTTGCAGCCACTGTGTCAATCCTTCTCGTTGAGGGTCTTCCTCTTTTTTGCTGACCCTCTACTTTACCAAGCATGATGTCCTTCTCCAGGCACTGATCCCTCCTGATAACATGCCCAAAGTATGTGTGACATAGTCTCACCATCCCTGCTTATAAGGAGCATTCTGGTTGTACTTCTTCCAAGACAGACTTGTTCGTTTTTTTGGCTGTCCATGGTATGGTCAATATCCTTCTCCAATACCACAAAATTCAAAGGCGTCAGTTCTTCTTTGGTCTTCCTTATTCATTGTTCAGCTTTCACATGCATATGAGGCCATCGAAAACACCATGGTTTGGATTAGGCACACCTTAGTCTTCAAGGTGACAACTTTGCTTTTCAACACTCTAAAGAGCTCTTCTGCAGTAGATTCACACGATGCAATGCATAGTTTGATTTCTTGACTGCTGCCTTCCATGGGTGTTGATTGTGGATCCAAGTAAAATGAAATCCTTGACAACTTTACCTTTTCTCCGTTTATCATGATGTTGCTTATTGGTCCAGTTGTAAAGATTTTTGTTTTCTTTGAGATGTAATCCATATTGAAGGCTGTGGTCTTTGATCTTCAGCATTAAGTGCTTCAAATCCTCCTCATTTGCAGCAAGCAAGGCTGTGTCATCTGCATATGGCAGGTTGTTAATGAGTCTTCCTCCAATTCTCATACCCCATTCTTCTTCATATAGTCCAGCTTCTCAGATTATTTGCTCAACATACAGATCAAATAGGTATGGTGAAAGGATGCAACCACTGACACACACCTTTCCTGACTTTAAACCATGCAGTATCCCCCTGTTCTGTTTGAATGACTGCCTCTTGATCTATGTACAGGTTCCTCATGAGCACAATTAACTGTTCTGGAATTCCCGTTCTTGCTAACGTTATCCATAATTTGTTATGATCCACACAGTCAAATGCCTTTGCATAGTCAATAAAACACAGTTAAACATCTTTCTGGTATTCTCTGCTTTCAGCCAGGATCCCTCTGACATCAGCAATGGTATCCCTTGTTCCACATCCTCTTCTGAATCCAGCTTGACTTTCTAGTAGGTTCAATATACTGCTGCAGCCGCTTTTGAATGATCTTCAGCAAAATTTTACTTGTGTGTGATATTAATGATATTGTTCGAGAATTTCCACATTCGGTTGGATCACCTTTCTTTGGAATGGGCATAAATATGGATCTCTTCCACTCAGTTGGCCAGGCAGCTGTCTTCCGAATTTCTTGGCATAGACGAGTGAGCACTTCTAGCGCTGCATCCCTTTGTTGAAAACATCTCAACTGGTATTCCATCAATTCCTGGAGCCTTGTTTTTCACCAGTGCCTTCAGTGCAGCTTGGACCTCTTCCTTCAGTACCATTAGTTCCTGACCATATGCTACCTCCTGAAATGGCTAAACACTGACCAATTCTTTTTGGTATAGTGACTCTGTGTATTCCTTCCATCGCTTCCTGTGTCGTCTAATATTTTCCCCATAGAATCCTTAAATATTGCAACTCGAGGCTTTAAATTTTTCTTCAGTTCTTTCAGCTTGAGAAATGCAGAGCATGTTCTTCTCTTTTGGTTTTCTATCTCCAGGTCTTTGTACATGTCATTATAATACTTTACTTTGTCTTCTCAAGCTGCCCTTTGAAATCTTCTGTTCAGCTCTTTTACTTCATTTTTTCCTTTCGCTTTAGCTACTCGACGTAGAAGAGTAACTTTCAGAGTCTTATTCAGCCTAAAAGGGAAGGAAGTACTGATACATGCCACAACATGGATGAACCTTAAAAAAATCATGCTAAGTGAAAGAATCCAGTCACAAAGAATCCACATATTATGATTCCATAGATAAAGAAAAATTCTGGAAACTAGATGGTGGTGATTGTTGCACAACACCGTGAATGTACTAAATGCCATTAAATTTTACACTTTAAAATGGAGAATTTTACACATTATGTGAATTTTACTTTATTTAAAAAAAAATACATTACCTGGATAGTCAGTAATTTAAACAACATTCTTATGTACACCATGTATTTTACTGATCAGAATGTTACAACTTTAAAAACAAAGTTTTTTTTTTTTGCATTACAGGCACGTATAAAATGGTATGTTTGGGAGTCATTACTACAGGAACTTTTCAACGTTTAGTCATTTCAGACAAAACAACAAATCACGTGTAGGCTTTTTGCTGTTTAACTGAAACACTTGAAGTACATATTCTGTTTTTACCTTCAGTTTTGTCAAGTGATGATGCTAGTATATATTTCTGCCACATCATATTTTCTTCCCATTAGTATAAACTGCTTTCAAATGCTATTTCTATCAATATTATCTTTGCCTGTGTTGTTCCCAGGCCCTAGCAGTGTTGGGCACATACAGATGCTCCACAAACACTTAAATACTGTTTATTGAACGAACTAAAGAAAAATATTTTCAATCTTGGGCCACTGACTCATGATAACAATACCTTACTAATTTCTTTACACAAAAGCCGATTTCTCACATTTAATCCAGTAGATATGCTGTTTACCATAATCACTTGCTCTAATGAAACAAGATAGCTAAGATGTGACTAAACTGGCTTAAAGCTGTAAATGCTTGTAATTTTCTTTAAAAGAAAATAGTGAAGTTAAGATACCATTAAAACCAACTCTCAAGAAAAATCTCAAATCCTTTGATCATACTGAAAAAGGTACTGAATACTTCCTGAAATAAAGGGGTATAAGTTGAAACAACTCAATTTTGTCTCATGAAAACTGATTTTTGGTATAAAATTTTGGCATTTGCAAGCGTGACTAAGAATCAAGATTGTACATTTCTCTAAGTACTTTGTTGTTACAGAACTTGTTTATAAAAGTTTCTGTTTTGATTATTGACAGTTGAGAGATTATCTATCCTGTAGATTTTAAGTTGTTTACCAAAATAAACTATTATACTATCTATCATCCATTAGGGAGGGAATTTATAAAACCTGGTAGAGGTGGCAAGTAATTCTATAATTCACCATCAACTGTACAACTCTTAAGGATTAAAGGTAATTTATTAAACCTTTATTGCAAAAAACCAAACAGGAATTCTGGGGGAAGTTTAAGGGCCAGTTTAGCTGGCTAACATCTTAGTTCTAAAAAAAATTAGCACTCTAACTTCTCATATACTAAAACTAAAAAACTAATTACTTACCTAGGACCTATTTTTAGATAATCAAATGTTACCTCAAGTGACTAATTCTACAACTAATGTAATCTAATCCTAAAATAATTCTAGGGCATCATTAATGAAACCCAAATATTCATCAAAAGACTACGCTAATTTTCCTTAATTAAGAAAAAAAAAATCAACTGAAAGAAAATAGTATAGTGAGTATGAAACTTGGGTACCAAAAGAAGAAAGAAAGGTAAAATGAAAGTATGAGGGAAGGGGGAATTTTTATTCATCCTTCTTCTTTTTTTTTTTTTTTAAATTGTTTTGGTTTAAGATAGAACATTTAATAGAACTCCAAAAGTAAAATGTATTATGCACTGACTGGTAATTTCAGTTGTGTCTAGAACCCAGGTGAGTTTATTTAAAAGGATATTTACCTGTGAGTCTGCCAGGAATCTTCAATCAGTAAGATTTGCAACAGGAGATCCAAATAGGGCCGGAGTTCATAGGTATATGAATATGCAACCTAAAAACAGGTGACATGGTAAATGACTTATTTATAGGAACAATAGATCAAATTATAGAGACATATGAATGGTTATTTTCCTTTAACCTGCCAGAGAAGTTCACTGAGGACAGTAGATGAGAACTGCGGATTCTCCCAGCAGCAAAAACGAAGCAACTTGACGGTTTCCTCTGAGTTACTGCAGTCTTCAATGATTTTCTTCACATAACTTGTTCTCACAAATAAAATGTCTGCCACATTCTGCTGAATTGGCATTATAGGTTGTGATAAATTGGGATCACCAAAAGGATTGGGAAGAGGGGGATTACCTAGAATATATATTTGTCATCAATGAAAAACTCATAGGCTTCTGCACAATAACAATATACAGTTTTCATCACAGAAAATAGCTTATAAATTTTTTGTTTTAGAAAAGGAATTTTAAATAGTTTCCTAAGTACAATGCAGAAAGTAGTATTATGAATTACAATGACCAGATATGCCAAGATGATAAAATATAAAATTTAAATGCTGACATTGGCATATAACTAAATAAAAGGTTAAAAATTCTTAAACTACTTCATAAACAAGGTGTGAACCTCAATATCAAGTAAACAGAAAAAGATCCCTTTAAGCACGTGAAAAAGCTAAAAGACCCAAAACATTATAAAATATTCCAAAGCATGAACCTTTAGACTCTTATTTTGTATTTAAACATCTTCAGAATAACTTAAAATTAAGTACTATATATGCCTAGCAGTATTTTAAAACTATTGTAGAGAAAAGAAATATTTTATTTTACCATTGATTGAAGACTGCATTCTTGATGAGACATTGCAACAGCGGATCAGCTGTGACACTACTGAGTATAACTTGCCTAATTCAGCATACTGATATTTGATTGGAGGACCTGGTCCTTCATCTAAAGACACTAGCATAAAGGTAGCAGGTACACTCAATTTCAGAAGCTGTGTCTTTTCTGCCACACCTACAGTAAAGTGGTGAGAGGAGAGAAGAGAGAAAAGAGGAAGAAGAATGTGTGAGAGGAAAAAAAGCAGGTTGGCAAGAGGTTTCATTAATAAAATAGTTATCCATAATATTTGTCTATTATTTTTATGATCAAAAGCATAATACTTTTGCTTAGCATACAGAGAATGACTTAATCAGAAAAGAAAATTTACTAATTTAGTATAATTAAAGTATCATAATTTGTGGAAAGTGATCATGACTATGACACTCCAATGTTGGGCCATAAGGAAGACACTGCAGCACTCATTTTAAGGTAGGAGGATGAAAACAACTAAATCAAGTGAGATATAAGAATTCCTATAAACTGTCTCTTCTTTGTTCTACAGCCAAACTTCTTGAAAAAGATGCCTAAGGTTTGTGTCTCTACTTTTTCATTTTCCCACTCTTCAACCCACGACCATGTTTTCTGCCCCAACTTTCTTGGTGTAAAGCTAAAGAATGGACAGTTCTCAAACCCTGACCACTTCCTCCTTATTTTCATTTTCTTTCTACCTCTTCTCGGTCTTATTTGTAAGTTCGTCTTCCCCTGCTTCAAACTGATGCTCCTCAAAGTTCCCATGCCAGGCTATCTTGCCACACTCTATGCTTTCCCTGTATGATCAAACCTGCTCTAATGGTTTCAAGGTCTGGCTATTTTCATTCAGATGATTCCAAAATATTTCCAGACATGTATCTTACTGTTCTACCAGACATCTCTACTTGGGAGTAGGCAGGCTCAAACTCAATCTGCCCCAGACTAAACACATCATCTTTCTCCCCATATATGTTCTATATCTAATCTCAGTAAATGGCACTACTCAATTGGTCAAGTCAGAACCCTGGGCATCGTTCTTAACATCTCTTCCCTGTCCTGCTCCCCTGAATATCCAATCACCAAATCCTGCTGACTCTATCTCTTATAAAAATCCCTACAATCTGTCCACTTATATCCTCCCCCCTCACCATCAATTCCCTAATATAGGTCACAATGATGTTCTGTCTACAGATCATTTTAACAATCTCCACTCTTGCTCCAATGTGATCCATTCTACACTGTAGCCACAGTGCTCTGTCTAGAAGGTAAATGTGTTTAGAATCCTACAATGGTTCATCAATACCCTTAGATGAAGTCTAGACTTCCTTGCCATAATAGCATGATCAAAGAATCCTGTTCTCACCATTTCCATCTTACATCAATTCTAGTCAGACTGAATAACTTTCATTTCCTCCAATGAGCGAAGCTGAGGTAATTCCAAGTCTTTACATCTGCTGTCCACTCTCCCCACAGAAACTTCTCCAATAAGCCCTTTCTTACTCCATAAATCTAGTCAGGTACCCCCAACAATGTGTTTCCACAACACACCATATTTTCCTCTGTTGTAGCTATTAACATACTTTATGACAACTACCTTTTTATTAGTATTTACATCTCACTATACAGTAGACTGCCTTAATTTATCTGCTATCTTTGCAATCTCTTACCTGAAATCCTAAAAGCTCTTATTAAAAAAGTTTTTTCATAAAATTGTTATCAAAATTTGTGTTTGATGGGAAAAATCTGACCTGAACTGACAACAGGCTATTCATAGTATTCATTTATTCCACCACTCCCTTGTGTGGCTATTCAAGCTTTACTATGGAAATATTAATGTGTTTGATTATAATATGCTGCCTCTGACTCTGCCGGGGATAATACATAATGTACCGTCTACGCACTGCCTTATCTTCCTAAAGCCAAAGAATTCTGAATCCCAAAATATATCTGGCCTTAAGGATTTCATACTGAGGTTTATAGACCTGTACTTGATTTTTGCAGGGAAATTTTACAACTAAGATTACATTATAGACCAATGAGGTGTGTTTTATGAACCGTATTAAAAAACAAAACAAAACAAAACATTGCCCTCGGGTTGATTCCGACTCATAGCGACACTACAAGATGGAGCAGAAACGCCCCATAGGGATTCCGAGGAGCGGCTGGTGGATTTAAACTGACCTTTTCGTTAGCAGCCAGGCTCTTAACCACTGCACCACCAGTGCTCCAAAATAGAGGTACTGGGGATTGAACACAGGGTGTCGTGCATGCTAAGCACACAAGGGAGTTGAACAGAATATTTGTGAATGTTTAAATTTGGTATTTCTAAGTTTGATATACAGATGCCACTTATGCTTGTTTATGTAATATCTTATTCCTTTCTCAGCTACAACTACCCAAGCATCGCAGGTATGGACAGGTATGGGAAGAAAAAACAAACTGCAGAGACAATCAGAAAACGAAGAATGTAAAGTAGAACATTCCTTATGCTAAAAGGTTCAGAACAATTGGTGATTAGTAAGGTTCACACAGAAAAAAACCTGAAATGACAGGGATGCTTGGGTATAGAACTTCATTTTGGATATATTTTTTACTTTTGGAGAAGTTATTAAAAACTGTCTGCTATGTCTCCAAATCAGTTCCAAATCTGGCTAAATATACATTATTATCACCAAGATTTTAACTGGAATATGTCTCAATAAATCAGCTGTTTTGGGCCCAGTGCACTAACACTTGATTCGCTGATATGTAATTTTTATAATTTCAATCACAGTAAACTTACCACACCAACACAATAAACAAATACCAAACGATAATGAAAACTTTGGAAGGATTTTTGATGGTATTCCTAACTATAAATCTATTCATTCAACAAACGTTTACTAAGTTTAAGTGCTACTATGCAAAGCGCTGATCTTTGAAATCTAGTTGGGGAGAAACACAAAAATCTGAAAGTTATCGAAACACAACAGAGTAAGTATAGGACAGTATAGTATAATTTTTATGTAAGCATTATGGAATCATTGAAAAGAAATGATCAGGTGATGTTAAGAGAAGGCTACTCTGAGGAGAATACTGTTGTAATACAAAGGTAATAGGTATCAGTAACAGCAAGTGAATTCCTTGAGCATATTATCACTAGTCTTAATTGAATTTAGTTTACTTCAACAAAATGCTATATACAGTCCTTTACTCAAACTCGATGACTATCACAACCATCTGGCACAAAAACCAACTGAAAATGGATCAAAGACCTAAATGTAAAACCTAAGACTATAAAGATCGTGGAAGAAAATATAGTGACAATGCTAGGGGCCCTAATCTATGGCATAAATAGAATATCAGGCATAACTAAAAATGCACAAACTCCAGAAGATAAACTAGATAACTGGGACCTCCTAAAAATTAAACCCTTATGCTCATCGAAAGACTTTACCAAGAGGGCAAAAAGAGAATTTCTACACTGGGAAAAAATCTTTGGCAACAACACATTTGATAAAGGTTTAATCTCTAAAATATATAGAAAACTTAAACAACAAAAAGACAAACAACCCAATCATCCAATGGGCAAAGGACATGAACAGACACTTCACCAAAGAGGGCATTTGGGTGGCCAACAAATACGTGAAAAGATGCTAGCGAGCCTTAGCCATTAGAGAGATGCAAATCAAAACCATGAGATACCATCTCCCCCCTGCAAGAATGGCACTGACCAAAAAACCCAAAAAACAATAAACGCTAGCAAGGTTGTGGGGAGATTGGAACTCTCATACGCTGCTGGTGGGAATGTACAATGGTACAACCACTATGGAAAATGATAGGGCTTTTCCTTAAAAGCTAGAAACAGAAATACCATACGAGCCAGCAATCTCACTCCTAGGTATATATCCTAGAGAGATAAGAGCCATCACACGAATATACACATGCACACCAATGTTCATTGTAGCGTTATTCACAACAGCAAAAAGATGGAAACAACCTAAGTGCCCATCAATGGATGAAAAGATTAACTATTGTACGTACACACAATGGAATACTTACACAACGATAAAGAACAATGATGAATCCAAGAAATATCTCACAACATGGATGAATCTAAAGGGCATTATGCTGAGCAAAATAAGTAAATCACAAAAGGACAAATACCGTATGAGACCACTATTATAAGAAATCAAGAAAAGGTTTACACACAGAAAAAAATCATCTTTGAAGGTTACGGGGCAGGGGGGTGGAAGGAAAATGACTAACTAGATAGTAGATATGTGTTAACTTTGGTGAAGGGAAAGGCAAAACACAATATAGCAGAAGTCAGCACAACTTGACCAAGGCAAAGAAGACACTGAAAGGAAGGCAAAAAAAAAAAAGCAGCAACCACGGTGAACACTCCAACATACACAACCCTACAACAACAGTAAAAACAAACCATTTACAAGCAGATACATAAATAGATACGTATGCTGAATAGGGGTAGGAGGGAGTATAGGAGTACACCCACGTACATATACAAGCTTAGCTGTGGATATTTTTATACACGTATGTGTATGTGCAACACATATATTCATATATATATAGTAGAGCACACAGGGGGCACAGTCATAGAAGCTTCCTAGACACATCCAAACACCTTGAGGAACCGAGTTACTAGGAACCATGGTCTCGGGGGACATCTACGTCAACTGGCTTAACACAGTTCATAAAGAAAATGTTCTACATCTTACTTTGGTGAGTAGTATCTGGGGTCTTAAAAGCTTGCAAGTGGCCACCTAAAATATAACTATTGGTCTAATCCCATCTGAAGCAAGGGAGAATGAAGAAAACCAAAGAAACAAGGGGAAGATTAGCCCAAAGGACTAATGGACCACAACTACCACAGCCTCCACCAGACTGAGTTCAGCACAATTAGATGGTGCCCGGCTACCACCACTGACTGCTCTGACAGGGATCACAATAGAGGATCCCAGACAGAGCAGGACTAGAACAAAATTCTAACTCACCAAAAA